AGGAAGGCTGACGTTTCGGGCCTAGACCCTTCTTCAGAAAAACTTTTCTGAAGTAGGGTCTAGGCCTGAAACGTCAGCCTTCCTGCTCCTCTGATGGTGCTTGGCCTGCTGTGTTCACCCAGCTCTACACCTTGTTATCTCAGATTCTCCAGCATCTGCAGTTCCTACTATCTCTAAAGCCAGAAATATGTTGGCCCATTCAAAGCCTGAGACTCCTGCCCTTGTGGTGCCTTTTAACTGTCCCTGTTCCTGAACACTGACCAAATCAGAAGTCCCTAACCCAAGGGTAGACCACCTCCTGGATTAAAGTGCTGAGGAAACTTGCCGTCTCTCTCATATGCTGCAGCATCTACAGCTCAGTCTCCAGCTCACTGACTCTAAGCTGAAGTTCCTGCAGCTGCAGCTATCTTGCACCTAAATGGGAAAATTATGCCAGAGATTAATTAAAGAAATCCCAGTCTTTAGGGCAGAGGGTGAAATGAAGAGTTTGAAGTTTGGTGAAACGGGAATAGAAAGGGAATGGAGGGATATGGATCCTGTAAGTGAAGACAATTTTAGTATGGAAGGGCAAAATATGTTGGTGCATGTTTGGTGGGCCAAAGGGCCTGTTCCTGTGCTGTATTGTTTTTTGTTCTTTGGTCGGTATATAAAAGGGACCTCAGGGGCAACTTTTTCACACAGAGGGTGGTGCATGCATAGAACGAACTGTTAGAGGAAGTGGTGGAGACCAGCACAATTACAACTTTTAAAGACATCTGGATGAGTATATGAATAGTAATAGAGAGATAATACGCCAAATACTGGCAAATGGGACTAGATTAATTCAGGATATCTTGCTGGCATGGATGAGTTGGATCGAATAGTCAGTTTCCATGCTGTACAACTCTGTGACTCTGTGACTTTAAGTATCTCTTTTGCTTTCTTAGAAGTGTACAATCTAAGAAAGAAGATTACATGTGCCAGTGTCTTGGCATAAATCAGTTATTTCCATATGTACCTTGGGGGGAAAAAATGACAAAGCATTACTGTCATGCCATAATTCTGCAGATATTTGTAGCACTCAGTGGTACAGAGGGATCTGGGTACTAGTATCTGAATTACAAAATATTAATGCACAAGTACAGCAGGTGATTAAAGGCAAATGGAACATGGTTATTTATTACGAATAGGTTAAAATATAAAAATAGGGAAATTTTACTGCAGTAGTACAGGGCCTTGGCAAAGTCATACCTCGACTACTATGGACATGAGTTTTGGCGCACCAATTTGCAAAAGAATATAATCACATTAGAAGTAGCTCAGAGCAGGTTCCTTTAATCCATTGCTTCGATGAAGAGTTTATCTTATGAAAGTGGTTGAATAGAATGGGTCTTTATTGTTTGGAGTTTAGTAGAATCATATTGAAATTTAGAAGATGCTGTGGAGCCTTGACAGGGTGATGATGAGAGAGGAGATTTTCTTTTGTAGGGGAAACTGGATCTAGGGGCCACAGTTTAAAGTTAAGAGGTTTTCCTCTTAAGATAAAGATGAGGAAATATTTATTTTCTCTCAAAAGGTCATTAATCTGTGGAATGCTCTTTCCCAAAAAGCAGTGGAGGCGAGAGGCTAAATTCAAAGTAAAAAACCTCCGCAGAGGCCAGTATCCCATTACCAAGTCACCCTTTATTTACACATGGATAGTCCTTGACACTAATCCAGCTCCTACAGAGCCAGCTCTCGGAATGACAGACCCTCTGATACTCCTCCTTTTATCTGTCAGCCAGAACTCCCTGATTGGACCAGGTTAACAGCCCCAATCAAGGAAATCATATTTTTTGAGGTCTACCTGACTCGCCTCATTACAACCATGACAAAAGATTGAGATTATTCACTCTGTTGGATAGATTTTTGATGGATAGGGAGTAAAAGGTTATGAGAAAGCTGATGGGGAGTTTGGGTTGACATCACAATCAGATCAGCCATGATTTTATCAAATTGTGGAGCATGTTCAAAGAACCAAATAGTCTGCTTCTAAGTCCTATGTTCATATGCAGGAAATATTGGGCAACTTGGCCAAAACTGCCTTCACCCAGCTGCTGACTGTTTCAATAAGTTCGCAGCAGTTTTAAAATTAGGGATTGTTTCATGCAACTATGGCAACTGGGCCTGTAAACAGTCTGATAACATCACCCTCACCAACATGGCATAGCTGATTCATGAACAATCTTATATAATCCACAGCAAATTTACAAATAGAATAATGTTGAGCAAAGTGCATGACTCAGCATAGGAATTGATCCTACTCTGTCACATACAGCACGTGTAGCACTGGGAAAAGCTCAATAGAAACTCACAGGCTGTTTTTATTATCAGAAACAAATGCTAATTGTCTGATGAATTCTTCCTTTTTACCAATTACCTGTTTACAGCAAGTGCTGCTCACTTCAGTTACCTGGAAGGGACTGACAATTTTCTAAATTGTGTATCGTGAGTTTTAAAAGTGCAGAAAATAGTCTGCATAATATTGGCTGCTGCACTAATGAGGACATACATCCTTCCTGCATCCAACACAAAGTCAGCTGTTACCTAACTCAGGATGTATGCAGCACAATCAAAATTCTGGAGGAGAAAAGAGGATTAAAGGTGATGGAAGCTTTCAAACACCTCTAAGTAATTCTGCAAATAATCAGGTAATTTCTGAGAATAAACCTTTCAGCTTGGCAGCTGAAAGGGGAAGTAGTCTTCAAATGCTCAGATGCAACAATTTTCAACCAATTCAAAATGAAGTAATTGAGAAAGAAAGGCCTGTCAGGATTAAAGATGATAATTTTCAGACAGCAGATGTGTGCTATCAAAGCCAAACAGGGAGGGAAAATCAGCCTGGAATTCAGAGCCCGAATGAAATGAAGGATCAGCCTATGGCATTAAAAGAAATGAATTACAGCTCTGAAGTCAAGGACACTGATGGAATTTTAAAATCTGGGTCAATTGGCCATAAATGTGGAAGTGAGGAAATCCATCTTCCTGCTGTTTCAGAAATCAGTAAAGCTGATGAAAAAACATTCAACACGTTAAATGATAAAAATGAGGTTATTATTGCATGTCCAGCTGAAGCTGTGAAAATGGAAGACCGAAGAGTCTGGTCCCAAAAAGAGGAAGCATCTTTCAGTCCAGTTCAATTACATTCCATTGGCACTGTGGAATTATTGAAAGTGTTGCTGGATGTTAAAGAGGCCTCCATAGCCTTTGGCTTGCCTATATTATGATAAAAATGAATATAATCATCCATTTCATCAAAGATTGCAGCATTTCCTTTTAATTAAGATTGGGACGAAATTTAAAAATCAGATTTACTGTTAAAAGTTCAAGTGATATATATTTTGCAAGCTATACTTTTGCATCATACTTTTTAATTAAACCATTATGAATTCCAAAGAAACCTCCAAAATACTCTTGGTTAATAGGTCATTGGGTAGATGCCTCCATGTGTTAAAAATATAACAACATCAGGCTCAAGCTAAGATAGATGTTAGGGAAGCAGTCAGTATACAATGTACCCAGTATTGTTTTGGATAGAAATTCAAGATAAAACCATATGCCATCATTTCCACATTTGGGTCTGCCTACCCACCATTAACTCACAGATTATGACTGGCAGGAAAAGGACTGGACAGCAGACATCCTGAAAGCTTTTAGAATGACCAACAATTCAGACTTTACAACTCAGACTAACTCATATATAAGGCAATGTCCCAGGTAGCTCAATGTTGGGATGACCTTTGTTCTGTATTTCAATTTATATTTTTGCATAACATTATCTGGGTCACTGGATTACATGTCCAGTGACAATACTACATGCTGTCATCACCCTGTGTGCTACTAAGCTGGTAGATGCCTGAGTGAATGCTCTGAAGCAATGGGCAGAACCTCCCCAGTCCCTGGACTATCTGTAATAGGGTGGGATATTTGAGACAATCAAGTGGGAGGTGTCGAGTGAGGCCCTTCTCAACATCAGTATCAAAACCATTCCAAGATTAACACATTTCCAGCAAAGTCCTGAGTATCAAGGCAAGCTTCACACTATTGAGTGGCAAGAAGCCTATTAACAGGGATCCATGTTCATTATTACTTAATCTCCCATTTTCCCACCCACTAGATAGAAACTAGATGCTAAGAATTCCTAAAATGTAAGTCAGAGAGGGAACCTGGTGACTCCAGCTGGCTGCCTGCTCTTCTGGACCTCAGCATGGACACTGGTCACTGGTATCATAGGCAGCCTCCATGGACAATGACTGCACACATTCCTTATTTGTAAACATTGACGTCAGACATGTACCAGCCTCACCATACTGTCCCAGTATATTGCTAATCCTCTTAGAAAGGCTGCTGTAAGAGTACTCTGAGTGCTGGGAGAGGCACCCAACTAGGGATTGGAGCAAGCTATATTCCAGGGCTCCTTCCTTACTCTCTTTGAGCTTACTTTGATGCTCAGGATATTTCTGCCTCGTCTTGCCTTTTTTGCACTTTGTGATCTCATTTAAAACTTATAGTTTCACAGCTCTTCTGCCTTGCTTCGTGAATATTGTGGGCACTTTTGGGCCCTGTGTCTGAGGAAGGATATGCGGGTGTTGGAGGGGGTCCATAGGAGGTCTACAAGAACGATCCCAGGAATGAAGGACTGGTTGAGGACTCTGTATCTGTACGCAATGGAGTTTAGAAGGATGATGGGGGAATCTGATTGAAACTTACAGAACAGCATTCAGAGAGGCCTGGATAGAGTGGGTGTGGACAAGATGTTTCAATTAGTAGGAGAGATTAGAACCAAAGGGCTCATTCTCAGTGTGAAGGGACAACTCTGTAGAACTGAGATGAGGAGGAATTTCTCCAGCCAGAGGATGGTGAATTTGTGGAACTCAACGCTACAGAAGTGAGTGTGAGTAATTGAGTATATTTCAAACAGAGATTGGTATGTTGTTTTTAGAAAGGGGATCAAAGGTTATGGGTGGAAGACACAAGAATGGAGTTGACAATTGTATCAGCCATGATCAAATGACAGAGCAGACTTGATTAACCAAATGACCTAATTCTGCTGCTATGTCCATGGTCTTGTTCGTCTTTGTCTTTTTGCACAAACATGAAGTCGGGTACCTTATCACGGTTGTCAGTAGTCATCAGTTAAGAAGATGGACGTGTTTCTATATGGCATCATGCTACATCAGTCTTACAATTACACAATGTGCCAACAGTTTCTGTGACAAACATATGCATGTGCATCAACCAAATGACCATGTCTCAAAGTTTAAGGGGTGTAATTCTAAATCAAGTCAAAGCAGACACCCTTCATTCAGAGGTTGTGGGATGGTAAGTAAAGGCTAGCTTTCTATATTAGTCCAGGTCCTTGGGTACAGTCAGTCAGCCACTCAGAATGGTCGTAGTCAGGATCCTCTCCTTGTAGGCAGTAAGGAGCTGAAGGTTGGGTACCCTACCCTGTTGGCTCTTGCAGCCTTATTATTGGTTGTTGCCTCCTGGATTGAAAGAAAAGGAGGGACTGAGTAGAATAAAAGTGGCTGGCAGTGCCCTTAGAGATGGTGCAAGTAGAGGAAATGTAGTAAGGTGTCCCAAGGGAGTTAGTAGATAATGCAGAGGTCATGCAGGGCAACACAATGGAGAATTACATGGGTGACAGTGAATGAGGAAAGATGTTGCAATGCACCAGTAGGAGTGGCATAGCATGAACCCTTGGTGGGCAGGAGGTACAGTAGCAGAGATTCAATAAGTGTCAGCAAGCAGAGAGAAGGTGGTGGTATGTAGCCCAGTGAAACAGGAAAGGTCATTGCCCTTCTTCCTATTCTGCTGCGTGTTTTTCCAGATAATTGAGATGGCACTGACCCAGATGGCAACCTCAGACAAAGCTGGCAGGGTGTGGTGTCATAGCACCATCTGACAGTTCTCTGGGAAGAAAACATCCCTCCCCTGCACCTCCCCATCCATCGGGACCTTCAGCTTCCTGACTCCAGCATGGGACATCAATTTTCCCTTATTTGGCATGATCAGAGCAAATATCACAAAATTCGTAGGGAACGTCTGGACTACCAGCACTTGACTGGATACACAGTAGCCTCTTACAGATGGTATTTGTGCCACGATCCCAGGATATCCTGGCAATGGTGAATACTTCCACCTATGGCAAGTGGGACAACCGGACTAGCATTGGACAAGAGGAACATTCTGGGGTCGTGGTATCTAGTTTATGAGGTTAGTTTGGGATGATAGCATGAGAAAACTCACTTGGCCTCACAGAGAGCACCCCTCCATGAACATGACACTCAGCTGATTTCAGGATATCCTTCATTGGTAAGATTCAGAACTTTGCGCCAATTTCAATTCACTTCATGAATAAACTTAGAATTAATATTTTGTTTTCTTGATATTGACAATCTTGAATTCACTAATGTCCTTCAGGAAGGGAAGTCTGCACTCCTGACCTGGTGTGATCTACTTGTGACTCTTAACTATCCTTGGAAATGACCATGCAGTCCCCACCCCATCCCAACTGAGTTGTATCAAACTGCTACAACATAGTGGAGTAGGAGTAAAACAGACCACCTAACATCAACCTAACACCATGACAGAAACATTTTGACTGGAGTTCTTTAGCAGAGTGAGCGGTGAATTCATTGAAATACACAAGAAAGGTCTTTCTAAGATCAAGTGAAAAGGATGTTTCCTGTTGTGGATCAATCCAGAACTAGGTGCACTGTCTTAAAACCAACCTTTTAGGACAGAGATGAGGAGCATTTTTTTTTCCGAGATTTAGAACTCTCTGTCAGAAGATAATGGAAATGTAGTAATCGAATATTTTAAGACAGAAACAGATAGAGTCTTGGTGGGCATGGGAATTTATCTGGGGGAGATAAGCAAGCTCAAAGGACTGAATGGTCTATGTCTGATCTTATCTTGTATGTTTGTCTGCTCTCACTAATACCTAGTAAGCTTATAGACCAGTCAAGCAACAGCATTACACTGGGAAAGTCATGTTCCATTGGCTGAACCAATTTACCAGAGGAACAGTGGAATTACGGTCAAAATGGAATGGTCCTGAAAACCTTTAATATTGCACCAAATGTTTTAGAGTAGATTTGTGGATGCTGTGGTTGGTTGGCTCACCGAGCTGGTTCGTTGTTCCGCAGACGTTTCATTACCCTGCTGGGTAACATCGTCAGTGCAGCCTCCAATGAAGTGCTGTTGTTTTTCCCGCCTGTCATTTAAACTCTGGGGTCCGTTAAGCTGGATTACTTCACTTCCGGTTTTCCCTCACAGTGGAGGGTATATGGGTTCTAGCTCTATGTGTTTATTGGTGGCTTTCTTAGTAGAGAACCAGGCTTCTAGGAATTCATGTGCTTGTCACTGCTTCGCTTGTCCCAGGATCCTGGTGTTGTCCCAGTCGAATTGATGGTTTTCCTTCTCCTTGTGGATGGAGATTAGTGAGTATTGGTTGTGTCTTTTTGCTGCCAGTTGATGTTCATGTACCCTTCTAACTTCCTGCCTTCCAATTCATGAGTATTCTACACAACTTTGTAACAGCACTTCAAATAGAATGAATGGCTAGTCCACCATTTTCCTGTCCATCCAAACTGCCCAATAGAATAGTGGTGGGTAAGGCATGAACCTGTCTATCCTTAGACCCAACAAGACACTTAACAGGCCAATTAGTGGGCAGTTAAGAGTGTCATTACATCTTCGTCGCTCTAATATTGTGGCCAGGGGAGGTGGAATAAAAGAGACTGAAGGGCAGGAAAGGAGGAAGAAGTACCAGCTTTAGGGCTGCTCTGTGCCTTACCCTACTACACACACTAGCTGGCACTCACTCAAGATTATATACCTCAACTTCACATGTCCCTCACTATCCCAGTCTCCAGGGTCCAACTGCTCATTCCTTCTCCCCACACCCGGATTCAGTGATTCCTTCACATGGTTGGTGGAGGTTAGTGACCTTGGTCCAAACCATTAATGATTTTTCCGCTATCATAAGGTCAGAAGTGAGAATGCTTGCCCTTGATTTCATAATGTTCAGCACTATTTATGATTCATCAGATATGGAAACAGCTCATGTCCATATTCAGTAAAATTTGGACAACATCCAGGCGTGGAGTGATAGGTGGAAAGTAATATTCTTGTCATACAATGACCATCTCCAATATGAGATGATCTATCCATCTTCTTTGATATTCAATGTCAATACCATTGTTGAAAGCCCACTATCAACACCTTGGGGGTTAGAATTACCAGGTACTGAACTGGACTAGCTTAATAAGTACTGCTGCCACATGGCCGGGTCAGAGGCTGGGAATTCTGTCACAAGTAAATTATCTCTTGAATCTCCATATCCTGTTCACCATTTGCAAGGCGCAAGTCAGAATTGAGATTGAACATTTTTCACTTGACTGATAACTGTAGTTCCAAACAATATTCAAGTTGCTTAACATCATCCAAGACAAAGCAGCCCATTTGTTCAGCATTCAATCCAAGAGGTCACTATGAGATGTATTGCAGTAATTCACTTTTGACAGCATCTTCCAAATCTCAGATCTTTACCATCTAGAAAAATAGATGAGTAACTCAAGTTATGAATGACATTGATCCTTATGGAACACCACATTCTATCTTCCTCCAGCTTGAAAAGCTGTTCAGTATACCTTTTCTCTGCTGTCTTTTTTTTTTAACCAATTTGAAATTAATTCTCCTATGTGGTCCTTATCTTCACAGTCTCTATCCTTTGTCAAAGCATCCTATTTTACTTTATGAATGATCTTTTGAATGTTGCATAAAAGAGAAAATGTGATATAATTCATATTTGAATTACTTTCAGCTCATGAAAGTGAGAAGTTATATCCGTCATTTTTGACAATTTACGTAGCTGGATAATAAGCTTTCCTTTCTGTTTGTTTTTAAGACTTCTTACAGAAAGGAATGGTAAAAACAATCCTCAAATTACCTGTTATGCCACAGCGCCCTTATTATAGTTCAGAAATTGTTATGCAGAATACTCAACAATAGGAGCCCAATTGTTGTAAATGACGGTGAAGAACTGGTTAGCAATGTGATCAGCATTGAGTGTACAGACTCCAAGATAAAAATTCCGTTTCCTGTCAAAATTGCTATACCATTCAGTGCACAATACCAGGGCAATTATCGAGAACATGGTAAAAGATCTGATTCCATACGATATTCAAGTTTTATGAGTCCTATCTCCTCAGACAGGATGTACAATGGACACAATAAGGTTGGTAAATTGCATTCAGTACAAATATTTGTCAAGTATTCAGCAATTTTTCTATCTGACCACTCTCAAAGTATCTCCAATCATTCTGTATTTTCTTTAGGGATCATGTGCAAAGGTTAAGATATATAAACTTGGTATCCTTTCAGTTGTGTCCTGTTTAAGAAAAGAGATGTTTACCATACCTAGAACAGCTTTAGCCTTAAAATTGAGCATAGATTCAAGAAATACACTGAACTGTCTCCCTGACTCATTCAGCACCCCTATGACCGTTCAATCAAAGGTGGGGAGGAATTAACCAGTTGCCTTTTCTTCTCTCACTCCTCTCCTCTTTGTTCAACATCTCTCCTTAAGGCAGTGGATGCATTTTTCTTTTCATCGTATGGGCAGCAATTCAACGAAGCAGTTCACCAGTTCATCATATAGTCTATTTGATCATCATAACAGTGATTTTAATGAAATGATAAAAAGGCATGTCTATAAAGCTTCAATAATCTGGTTTGTCAAGGTGACAGGGACAAACTTCTGTGCTCATGAATGATGCTGTTGTGTTGTTTCATGGAAACTAGAAGTCTTAATTCGCTTCTCCAACTCAAGGAATTATTTCCATATTGTCCAGAATGAAAAGTCTAAAATAAAAACCTTAAGTCAAAATAGCTTTTGAAGCTAATTGAGCCTGGACAGAATTGGTTATCTTCAATATTGGGCAGTTAAATTGTGGTTTAACTTCTACATGCAACAACCTAGATGCCCTAAACCTTATTTTGTATAAGGTGACCAAATACACTGCAGGTACAAAAGTTGCAAATTATGCAGAACTTCCATTAATAACATTGGAGCGTAAACTTCAGTGGGGTAGAAAACCATGATCCTCTTCCAGGTCTTTTTTTATGCATTTTCCATTGCTTTTGCAAACCACTGCCTATGCTAAGAAATGAGCAAGGGCAAAATTGTGCAGAAATTGCTGGCAAATGTAATTTGTTGAAAACTAGCTGATGATTCTCATATGTGAAAGCGCCTGACTGATAAGCTGGTTGGGAACTATATGAGTGGAAATCTGGCTTAATGGATTTTCATTCTACAATGTGTACTGCCATTTTCACACCACGTTAACTGGATTAGATCAATCATAAATTATCCTTTACTCACACACCCCTCAGCAAAGCAAAGAGTTGAAAATGTGCCAGATTATTTACTTGCCTATTTGTCCTCATAGGTTCAATCCAATTGATTCAGCACTGTTGTCTGCACTAAAATCAAGACAAGATATATATCATCTTATAATCTGTACAAGCCCCCTTGTTCACATTAAACATCCGTCAACTCTACAGTTTTGGACATCAATTACAGTCACTTTGCCCTGACAACCAAAACCAGACAAGAAGAAACAGACTATGCTCGAGCAGCTACAGCCATGGTGCACAGAACCAGCAATCTTCAGATTTGGGAAATGGAGAGATTATCTGCAACAGCCCAGTATCAACAGATGTAAAAGCTGTTCATGTACTTAATTCCACAGCTGCAAAACAGACCAAAGAAATATAAATAAAATTGCTTTTTCACATCAAAGTAGTCGTAACAATTGCAAAATAATGTACATTTGATTCCCTATTTTATGTATTTAATTTGTTATTTGTCCAGCCATAGATTAATGAGTACCCCTATAGAAAACATGGAGAGGCTATCAATGAATCTTTAAAACTGTTGGGATTTAACTCCAAGGATGAGGCCTGGTTGATAATGGACAATGTAACCATGGAAGATGTGCAAAATGCATTAGTTGCATTTGAAATTGCAGAAAATCTAGACAAGTATGAAACTTATAATTTAACTGTGATCTTAAAATATGCCTACTTTAAAACAAGACGAATAAAAATCCAATCAACTAGAAATGAGTAGCAGGTTAACTGAGAAGCAATATTTTGCATGTCACCATGAATCAGAAGATTCCGTGAAAATCCTGTCAGTGACATTTATTTGTTTTTCTGGTTTGGATAGTACTTAAAATACGTTGCATTTTTAGTATTTGCTGGTTTTCTTTTAGGTTTCACTTCTTTGTGGTAGATCTTTTTAGGGCCAGTTAAGGCCTTCATAAGGACGAATTACATTTCGGAAAGGATCATGAGACAGTGGAATTCACTACCCCAGAGTGTGGTGCATGCTGGGACACCGAATAAATTTAAGAAGGAGATGGACAGACTTTGCATTAAGTGATGGCTGAAAGGGTTATGGGAAGGAAAGTGGAGCTGAAGCTGAGATGAGATCAGCCATGATTGATTAAGTGGCAGAGCAAACTTGAGGTGCTAAGTTGCTTATGCCTGCTTCTTGTTCTTATATTCTTATGTTTAAACATTTTTTTGGAATCTCCCATAATTATTTCTTTTTCTAGCTTGTATTACCACCTGCCTTCATGAATTCAGAACTATCTTGAACTCGCATGAAGAAGTTGAAAAGTTACCCTGATAAAAACAAAACATTGAGGTTGGTTGGCTCGCTTATCTCCTTATAAGGAGGACCACCAATTCAACTGGGACAACACCAAAATCCTGGGACGAGCTAAGCAGAGACAGGCATGGGAATTCCTAGAAGCCTGGCACTCCATGAAACAAGCCATTAATAAACACATAGAACTCGAACCCATATACACTCCACTACGAAGGAAAACCGGAAGTGAGGCAATCCAGCTCAATGGACTCCAGAGTTTAAAAACCAGGTGGGAAAACACACCGACGCTTCATCGGAGGCTGCACCGATGATGTTACCCAGCACGGCAACAAAACGTCTGCAGAACAACAAACCAGCTCGGCGAGCCAACCAACCTCAACACCCGCAACCCAAACTACGAATCTACTCCAAAACCTTAAAAACAAAACATTGTTTTCATTAAGAAACCCAGGGTAGCAAATATAAAAATTATGTGAAGTTGAAGTAATCAAGCAAGAAGATTTTAAATGGTACTAATCCTGGGTTTGGAAAGAGTGGATGTTGTAGGTGGCTGACTGACTGGGGTCAAGTGTTCTTTTTTTTGTGATCCCAAGAAGGAATGAGTTGTGTGATGAATCATAAGAGCTAAGTCCCCAAATGGTCACTCTTGTAGAAAAGTAACTGACAGTCAGCCTTTGTAAGGGAATGACTGACCTGTATCCTCACACATTAATTTAAATAGACCACAACTAACAGAGAGAATCAGGTGGTGTGTAAAATGTCCAGTCTTAGGATAGAATGCATATGAGCTATAAAGCTTATCCTTAGCCTGTAACTTACTTTAATCTAATATATATTGCAGAACAGTAGATTCATGTGATGCTTCTTAATAGTATGAATGCAGTAGTCTGCTTTGAGATCCTTTATAACATCTGTCTGAAAATGGTGAAAGCAGCAATAAAACGACACGACATTTCATTAGGGATAGATTTAACACAGCATTTGCTGCTGTAAAAGTAGTTGCATTATCCTGTCCTGTAAATTTGAGCTAGTTCTTCTTTCCCTTAAACAGATTTATAGTCCTTTGTTTATCATCTTCAGTGGATAATAGTTACTTGATTCCTTTTATACATGAACTGGAAGAAGCAATTTGATTTACCACGGTTAATGTTATTATGTACCAGAAAAGGGAAACTTTCCACCACAATGTAGTCCAGATGGTGCCTTCCAGGGATTTACAATAGGAGCTGGCTAAAATGTGTGAAGAGGGATATAGAGATCCACCAGAGCCATCTGAAAAAGTACCAGTGGGAGAAGGCAAGCAGCTTATACTCAAGTTTAGTGGCAACATTAAATCATCAGGTACATTGCCAGTAATTTGATTTTCATATTTGCATTTTTTTCCCCTGAATTCCTGAATCCGTTGTCACATGCTGGAAGCAGTTTCAAAGATACAATCAGCATACTAATGGTTTGCCCATTCTCCACTTGTAATATCATGTAGTGTTACACATGAGCTGTTTTGTGTTTATTTTGTCTTTATCTTACTATGATGATTCTTTAGACACACAGGGTCTACAGGATCAATTGAGAAAATGTTGCATAATGTTTTGAATACAGAGTTTTCTGTTTTTCTTCTCTTTTGCCACCACTTGGATGCACACCATAAACTGCAAGTTCCCCTCCAAGCCACTCATCATCCTTTGGAAATATTTTGCAGTTACTTCACTGTTGCTGGATCAAAATCCTGCAACTCCACACCCCCCTCACCCCCCAACCACATTGTGAATGTAGCTACAAAAAATGGACTGCAATGATTCAAGAAAGCAAGGCAATTAGGAATAAGCAATAAATACTTGCTCAGCCGGTGAAGCCCACTTCCCTTGAATCTTTTCTTTTAAAAATACAGTACCCAAAAGATCTTAATGTCTTGGGTGCCATGTTTCAAAGATAATTGCATCTTCTTCACTTGAGTACATTTTCTTATCAAATGCCAAGGGTGATAGTGGAGATAGACTTGAATTCTACGTTTGGATATTTAGTGTGCGATTTAAAATAACAATTTTTGACAGGTTAGCTACATAAGTTAGTCTTGTATTCAAGTGGCGTTTAGAACAATGATACATATAAAGATTCTTGAGAGAGTAGATGTTCAGAGGTTAATTCCTCTTGTGGGACAGACTAGATCCAGAGGGGATAAACTCAGAATGAGGGGATACACATTTAAAACAGAGATGAAGAGGAACTTCTCCCCTCAGCACCTCGTGAATTTGTGGAATTCTTTATCGCAGAGTGCTGTCAAGGCTGGGTCATTAAGTATATTCAAGGTTGTGACAGACAGATTTTTAATCAATAAGTGAATCAAGAGTTATGGGGAAAAGGCAGGAAAGTGGAGTTGAGGATTATTAGATTGGCCATAATCTTACTGAATGACAAAGTAGACTGAATGTCCTACTTCTGCTTCTATGTCTTATGACCTTATGTCAGTATAGAAGAAATGTCCCGCTATAGGAATAGTTATGGCCAATGCTGCAGCCTTTGGAACTGGTGAAAGAAACAATGGTTCTCAATAATTCTCATCAATAACTCAGCATCAATAATTCTCCTGGCCGCAGTGGGGCAAACAGCCTTCAAACTGCTGTTGGCCTCCTGACTGAGGAGCCAGTCCAAAAGTGGGAACGTCCTGATGATGTCATTCACTTCTCCTCAGTTGGTGCCTTAGACACCCTAGTTTTTACCTGTCACTGTTTGTCAGACCCACCCACAGTGGCAGGTGCCTGCTCAAACAGAAAACAAAAATCTTCTACCACTATAATTTATGGAATTGCTCCTACCATGTTGTGCATGAGAGAGTTCCAGGACTTTGACCCAGCAAAGATGAAAATTTGGAAATCGATTTTTAGGTCAGGATAACTTAGAGAGAAACATGCAAGCGTTTCTGTTGCTTGCTGCCCATGTCCTTCCATGATGTAGAGGTTTTGTGGAACTCTCAAAGGAACCTGAGCATTGTTTGGCTGTGCATCTTCTAGAGGATTCACACTGTAACATGTTGTGTCGTTAGTGAATAAATGGATACATAAGGTGCTGGATAGGATACCAATCTGCTTTGTTTTGGTTGCTGTGCTTTTTGTATGATGCTGGAACTGTAGCTATTCAGGCAAATGAAATACATTCCACTGCACCCTTGATGTATACCTTGTAGATAGTGGGTGGGCTTTGGTCAGTCAGGAAATGAGTTAGAGCCAAAGTATTTAAGTGTTAAATTAGCGACCCACAGGATGTTGATAGTGGGGAATCTGACAGTCGCATTGACATGGATAGTAAAGGGGAAGTCATTGACTAGAACTTATCAGTGCATCTGTTTATATCCACTTACCAGCCCAGGTCCCAAATTTTGCTGCATGTCGGGATGAATTGCTTCAGCATCAAAGAAATTGCAAATGGAATTCAACTCTGTGCAACTACCAGTGAACACTTCCCTTCTGACCTTATGATGGAGGAAAGGTCACTGATGAAACAGTGGAAGTTGTTGAGCCTAGGAAACTGCCTTGAAGAACTCCTGCAGAAATGGCCCAGAACAGAGATGATTGGCCTACACTAACTACAACCATCCTCCTAAGTAGTGTTGCTGTGTCCTCTGCCTTCCCATTGGCTTCAATTTTGCTTGGAGTCCTTGATACCACATTTAATTCAATGTGACCTTACCTCTGGAGTTCACTTGTATGGCCTAATATGCAAATGTCAAGGGCTGAGTGGTCTTAGAGCAATGTAAACTGAGTATTGATGAGATCGCTAGCAATCAAAAAAAAGTGAGTTTTTCTTATATTTTAATTGAGGTAATGAGCAAGGTATGACACAAGGATATCCATTAATACTCCGCTCTCAGCAGAAAAGCAGGCTGGTGCTTTATCTGACTGTAGTAGTAGTAGAAGAGTTTGGCAATTACTTCTCTCCTCACTCTAAGGGGATGGCAATAGTATGCAAGATAAATAAAGATGGGCTACCTCAACAGTCGGATGGGGCTACCACATGGTGAATCAGCACATTACAATCCTGTATGCAAACTGGCATTAACATTACCGAAGGTAAGGCATGAAAACTGAAGCATATGTTAACTAAACTAATAAATATGGTAGGTATTAGTGAACATTTTAGCTGTTGATGAAGTTATAAATACTTTCACCAAAGCCAGCTATGCAAAATTACCATTATTTGTGATTATGTCAAAATGAGGAGCTTTGTGAGTTTTACTCTGCTTTTGTTCATCATTTTTTCCCAATTCCTTTGTTACGTTTCTTCCTTTTTTCTACTGTTTTGTTCTTCTTTTTTATGTTTTATTTAAAGGAGTTGCATGCACAGTATTATCCACCACACATGTCTGGGCAAATATTGGCTTTGCAAGTACGTTTCAAAACCTCTTACTTTAGACAGTGTACATGCTTCCACACAGTTCTAGAGTCATACAGCACAGAAACAGACTCTTCACTCCAACTTGTCCATGTTGACCAGATATCCCAATCTGACCACGTCCCGTTTGCCAACATTTGGCCCATGGCTGTCTAAACCCTTCCTATTCATATACCCATCCAGATACCTTTTAAATATTGTAATTGTACCAGCCTCCACCACTTCCTCTGGCAGCTTGTTCTAGACACGCATCACCCTCTGCGTGAAAAAGTTACCCCTCAGGTCCTTTTTAAATCTTGCCCATCTCAGCTTAAATCTATGCCCTCTAGTTTTGGACTCCCTTACCCCAGGTAAAAGACCTTGGCTATTCACCCTATCCTTGCGCCTTATGTTTTTATAAACTCCTGTAAGGTGGCCCCTCAAACTCTGACGTTTCAGGGTAAAAAGCCCCAGCCTATTCATCCTCTCCCTATAATTCAAACGCCCTAGTCCCAGCAAAAGCCTTATAAATCATTTCTGCACCGTTCTCAAGTTTAGCAACATCCTTCCTGGAGAAGGATTACATGCAATATTCTAAAAGTGGCCTCACCAATGTCCTGTACAGCCGTAACATGACATCCCAACTCCTTTACTCAGTGTTCTGACCAATGAAGGCAAGGATACCAAACCACTCATAAAATTATTCCAGAAAAATGATTTTGGATTTTCATTCATCAGTCATTGATAGCATTCTGCAAAAGAATCAGAAATTCTTAGGTTTGATCTGAGTGCAGGGCCATGTTATTTAATGCCACTTATGGGAGCAGTGAGTTGCTTATGGCCAGAAGGAAGATAACTGCCAGGGTTTCTATTCCTGATTGAGTTAGATAAGTAATTACAAATTAGGAGCTGAAGTACACTATGTAGCTTCTCCAGCCTGTTTCACCATTCAGTCAAATCGTGGCTGATTTGTTTGCATTTTGAATTCCACATTCCCATCTACTGCCAATGATATTTGATTAGAATGCCTATCAAAAATCAATCTTCCTCTGACTTGTAAGTATTCAATGATCTCATCTCCACGGCCTTCTGAAGCAAGTAATTCCAAAGTTGCACAACACTCTGTGCAAAAGACTTCTCCTCATCTCTGGCCTAAAAGGGTGATCTCTAATTTTAAGATAAGCCTGCTGGTTCCAGAGTCATCCACAACAGGAAATATTATTTTGACTTCCACTTTGTCAAGACCGTTCAGGATCATACACACTTCAATCAAATTATTCTTCTAAACTCCATTGGAAACAAGCCCAGGCTGTCTGACCTTTCCTCATCAGATAATTTGCTCATTTCAGCTATTAATTTAGTGCACCTCTTCTGAGTTGCTTCCACTGTATTTGTATTCTTCTTTAAATAAGGAGATCAAAATTGCACACGGTATTTGAGATGTGGTCTCAGCAATGATCTGTGTAAACGAAGCATAAAATTCTTACTTTTATGTTGAAGTCCTCTTATAATTAAGGATAGCATTCCATCAACCTTGTCAATTACTTGTACCTGCACAGTGATTTTTTTTGTGGACTTCTAGACGAGAGCACCTAGATCACTCTGTCATCCAGAATGTCGTGGTTTCTTTTAAGTAATGCACAGGAGCGGAGGGTCAGGAGTTGGCCATTCAGCCTGCCCCACCATTCGAGATTACAGTTAATCATTGCCTCAATGTTATTTTCCCACACTATCTCGATATCACTTAAGGTCATTAGCCTCCAGAAACCTATCTTGAACCTGCTGAATGATTGAGCTTCCACAACCTTTCTGGAAAAGAGAATTCCAAAGACCCATTATCCTCTCTGAAGAACTTCCTCCTCAATTCAATCTAAACTTCTTTGACCCTTATCCTGAGATTATGCTCCCTGCTTTTAGACTCACCAACCGGGAGAAATATCCTATTTATATCCACCCTGTCATGACCTGTAAAGTTTTGTAAAATTTCAATGAGATCACCTTTCATTCTTTGAAATTCTGGAGCATACAGATCCAGTTTTCCTCAACCTTTCCTTGTAAGACAATCCTGCCATCCCAGGGATTAATCTGGTGAACCTCCATTGCAATTTCTCTATGCCAAGTATATCCTTCCTTAGATAAGGAGATCAAAACTATACACAATACTCTTGGTGAAGTATCACCAAATCTCTTAACAATCAAAACAAGACACATTTACTTGTGTACTCAAATCTCCTTTAATATATGTGGCTGCACGTTGGGTTCGATGCCACCTTGGATAACTGTCTATATGGATTTTGCACATTCTGCCCTTGTCTGTGTGGATTTTCTCTGGACGTTCCAGTGTCCTCCCACAGTCCAAAAATGTGCAGGTTAGGTGGATTGGTCATGCTAAATTGTCCGTGCTGTCTAGGGATGCGCAGGTTAAGTGGATTGGCCATGAGAAGTGCAGGGATACGGTTTGGGGGTGGGAGGAGGGTACGTGGGATGCTGTTCAGAGGGTCTGTGCGGATTCAGTGGGATGAATGGTTTGCATATATGTCGTAGGGATTCTAAGAGATGCCAACTCACCCATTTGTCTTCCTAATTGCTTGCTACACTTGCATGTTAGCTTTTGTGGCCCATCAACAATGACACCCAAATCCTTTTATACACCTGCACTTTCCGTACTCTCACATTTAACAAACATTCTGCCTTTCTTATTTTTTTCTGCAAAAGTGCATAACTTCCCCAATACTTATGCAGTATATTCTATCTGTCATGTTCTAGTTGATTTACTTAGCCTCTTCAAGTCCTTTGGAATATTTCTTGTATTCTTTTCACAACTTATGTTCCCATCTAGTTTGGTGTCATCAAAAAATTTCAAAATATTGTGGTTAATTTCCTCATCCAAATTATTTTCATAGATTCAGAACACTTGCACCCCTAGCACTGATCTTTGAGGTATTCCACTAGTAAAAGCCTGACATCAAAGAATGATCCATTTAGTCTTACTCTCTGTTTTGTTTTGTCGATTAATCAATTTTCAATTCATACCAAAATATTCTTCTCAATCCCATGAACTGTTGTATTTGCTGACTTCCTGTGTGGGGCCTTAGCAAAAGCCTTCTGGAAATCCAAATGGACCACATTGACTAGTCTCCTTTGTCCATGCTTCATTACATCCCCCAAAAAACTCTGACAAGTTGGTCAAACATGATTTCACTTTCATAAATCCATGTTGACTGTGCCAAATTTGCCACATCCTTTATTACAGTTAAAGAGTCATACAGGATAGAAACAGACCTTATCATTCCATATGTCTACCACCCTTTGAGTGAAAATATCCTTTAAACCATTTGTTCCTCACCTTAAACTTGTGTTTAAGACCCGAGGGCACGAATGCTATGCAGGAAGACATTCTCATGAGATAGTAGGAACTGCAGATGCTGGAGAATCTCAGATAACAAGGTGTAGAGCTGGATGAACACAGCAGGCCAAGCAGGATCAGAGGAGCAGGAAGGCTGATGTTTTGGGCCTAACCCTTCTTCAGAAATGGGGGAAGGGAAGGGGGATCTGAAATAAATAGGGAGAGAGGGGGAGGCGGATAGAAGATGGATAGAGGAGAAGATAGGTGGAGAGGAGGCAGACCGGTCAAAGAGGTGGGGATGGAGATAGTAAAGGTGAGTGTAGGTGGGGAGGTAGGGAGGAGATAGGTCCGTCCAGGGAGGACGGACAGGTCAAGGGGGCGGGATGAGATTAGTAGGTAGGAGATGGGGGTGCGGCTTGAGGTGGGAGGAGGGGATAGGTGTGAGGAAGGACAGGTTAGGGAGGCGGGGACGAGTTGGGCTAGTTTTGGGATGCGGTAGGGGTAGGGGAGATTTTGAAGCTGCGAACACCTATGCTCAGTTCGCACTAAACAACTGCACCTCCCAGTCGCAAACCATTTCAACACCCCCTCCCATTCCGCAGACGACATGTCCATCCTGGGCCTCCTGCAGTGCCACAGCGATGCTAACCGAAGGTTGCAGGAACAGCAACTCATATTCCGCTTGGGAACCCTGCAGCCCAATGGTATCAATGTGGACTTCACAAGCTTCAAAATCTCCCCTCCCCCTACCGCATCCCAAAACCAGCCCAGCTCGTCCCCGCCTCCCTAATCTGTCCTTCCTCCCACCTATCCCCTCCTCCCCCCTCAAGCCCCCCCCCCGTCTCCTACCTACTAACTTCATCCCACCCCCTTGACCTGTCCGTCCTCCCTGGACTGACCTATCTCGTCCCTACCTCCCCACCTACACTCACCTTTACTATCTCCATCCCCGCTTCTTTGACCGGTCTGTCTCCTCTCCACCTATCTTCTCCTCTATCCATCTTCTATCCGCCTCCCCCTCTCTCCCTATTTATTTCAGATCCCCCTTCCCTTCCCCCATTTCTGAAGAAGGGTCTAGGCCCAAAACATCAGCCTTCCTGCTCCTCTGATGCTGCTTGGCCTGCAGTGTTCATCCAGCTCTACACCTTGTTATATTAAACATTCTCATGATCTACTTTATCTATACTTCTTAGATTCTTGTATACCTCAATCAGACCCTTTCAGCCTCATCCACTCCAAGGAAAACAAATCCCAGCCTATCCAGCCCCTCCTCATAACTGAGACATTTTATCCCAGGCAACATCCTGGTGAATCACTTCGGCACCTTCTCCATCTAGATTCTAGATAGATTGTAATATTTTCCCCAATATGAGCATTAAGCAAACAGGTTTGTATTTGTTACTCTCCCTCTTTCTCTGTTCTCAAATAGTGGTGTTATATATGTTCAGTCATTAGGAACCTTTGCAGAATCTTTAAAATGATGGAAGATTGCTACCAAGGCATCCACCATGTCTACTGCTACTTCCTTCAACAGTTTTCCATAAAAGCTTTAATAAAGGTCCAAGAGGTTTAGCAATGTAGCTATTTTTTTCAAGAACTACCTCATTACTAAGACTAACCTTTTTATTGCTTCAGATACACAAGTCCCTTGGTGACTTAGTATTTTTGGGATATATTCTATGTCTTCTTACATGAAGCTAGACACAAAATAAATATTTAGTTTCTCTGCCATTCCCATGGTGAATATCCAGCCCTTTCTTTCAAGATTCTGTTGCATCCTAAAAAAAAAGGCCATGAGAAATATTATAAAGGTAGAGAAATGTGTTTCCATGAATTATAAATAGGCATTTCATGGAAAATCAGTTCTGTTAAATCTATTAGAATGGAAAGTCTGTGGTGGCAATCCAGAAGCTTTTTTCTCCCCATTGCACAATTTAAGTCACTCCATAAATTTTCAAGCCCATTGTCAGGATTCCTGGGTTTTTTGTTCTCATCATGCCATTTTCTCAAATTAGATAGTTTCATAATCTCTAATATGAAATATATTTTAATTTCTTAAACTAATCATTAAAAGTAACACCACCATGGTCTAATCAGACCATAGAGCTGCTTTATCATTAGAGGGAGATGACTGCTGGTGGTTTAACCTGAGGGTCACCACACCTCAGGCAAGGGTTGAGAAAGAGGGATCTCAGCTGGTGTGAAAATTCAACCCAAAGCATCCCTCTGCTTTGCGGATGAGCAATGCTAATCCAGTAGCGCAGTAATGTTGTGTCGATTCTTCTGAACCTAATCTCAGATTTCTAGGTACAATTGTAGTTTTACAACTTCGTTTAAATTAAAAACTACTTAAAACAGTTTAAAAACTTCAATCACATCTTCCTCTTAGTCTTTGAAATGGACCTAACAAACCATTCAGTTGTCAAAAGGCAGTGAAGGACTATAATGTTGCCCATGCCAGCAAATGCCCTCATCCCACAAGTGAATAATAAAAACAAAATCCTGATGATTAAATGGTGCCTGATCTCTTTAACCTGCAGAACCTACATCTGGGAATGTGCTTTACTGGCTGGCTTCAGAACTTTCTGAAGAAGATGCCGTGATGCTTGTGACCTCCTAATGAATTCGGCACAGTGCCATTCAGCTCGTCAAGTTGAACAATCCTGATGATTTAACAGATCAGATTTTCAAAATACTCAACATGTGGAAAACACATCTACCAACAACCATAAATAAAGATCCTTTCCTGACATTTGAAAAGGTGTGGAAGGGAAGATTGGGCTGAAGATTCATGGTCCAAACAGGATTCTGGATGAGAAAACAGTGTAAGGTGTAATAAAAGCATTATAAGGTATACCTTTTTGTTGTACACTCCCAATATGAAATTGTGGCATTTGGGGCTGCATTTAAGTAACATTTGTGCATATATCTGCCAGGATTCCTTCTCTGTTAAAACAAATGGATGGAAAATCTTGGCCTGTGCTATTGTGATTTTCTGACATGAGTTCCTGTGGGTGAAGTTTCATGTTGAAAATGTTGAGTCAGAAAATGTATTCTGATATTCAAATGATATTAATGATGCCTCATTTGAGTTAGCAACATTAGCATTATGAACAATGGGAAGAATTTTACATGCTCCTAAACAATGTGGGCTATGATGTGAAATGCAGCAATAGTACATGAGAGGTCTACCGAGCAAATCGGATGCCAGGAATTCTGGAGATTGAAATCCGAGTGGGAACCTGGTGAATTCAGCTCCCCACTGGCTGCAAGGAGCCCCCATGTTTGTCTTGTGGCAATAGCGTCTCAGGACATGCCCCACGGTCACTGGGGGGTCACATATATCCCAGGTTTGTGGGCATTGGCATCCAATATGTGCCAGCCTCAAAGCAGGTCCCAAACCATTTTCACTATGTTTCAATGCTGCGCCTCAGTCTCCACTGGTAACTACCATTGAAATGCTGCAGCAAGGACATTTTACACTCAAGGACGTGCACCTAGTTCATGGAGTACATAAAAACATAGGCAGGAGGAGCAGATGAAGGCCCTTCAGCCCTTTGACCCTGCTGTGCCATTCAAAATGAAAATGGCTGACCATCCAACTCAGTGCCCTGGTCCTGCATTCTCCCCATATCTTTTGATCTCTTTAGCCTTAGGACCTATATCAACCTCTTTCTTGAAAACATTTAATGTTTTGGCCTCAACTGCTTTCTGTGATAAGGACTTTGACAGACTGTGGATGAAGAAATTTCTCTTCATCTCAATCCAACCCTATATCATTGGACTGTGACCCCTGGTTCTAGGCTCCCCCTGGTCATCAGGAACATCCTTCCAGCATTTACCATGTCTAGCCCTGTCAGTATTTTATAGGTTTTTATGAGGTTTCCCTCATTCTTTGAAGCTGTAGTGAATATAGCCCTAACTGATTCAATCTCTTTTCATATGTTAGTGCTGCCATCCTGTGAATCAGTCTGTGAGTGGACCTGCTCACAACATCCCTGTCTTACCTTGACTTTTTTACACTTTCCCCCTCAACCAGGGTTACCAGGCCCTTAGTACTGCGATACTGCCCTGCCATTTGGCACAGAAAGAGAGCCAGGAAACTTGTCATAATTGTTATCAGTCTTCAGTCAAGTCAAGAGAATTGTTTTCACTCAGGGGAACCCAACAAAGTCAGTGAAATGCAGCCTCTGATACAAGCCCAGGGGCTGGGGTGGAGGGTGGTCCACACTCAGGAGCACCTGACTTCAAGGATGCGGGCAGTGTATGACCATACTTCGCACAGTCAGCTCAGTTGCTAGGTGCTGGGTGGGAAAGGTGAGCATGTGCAGGTCCAGATAGGTTGGGTGGAGACCTGGGGAGGTGAGAGACCCACAGGGTACAGGTGAAGGTCAATGAAAAAGTCAATTTGGACTCTCAGGGCTCACCGACACATAGATTTGGAGTCTGCATGCGACCGGCTGAGGAGCACACACTATTGTTTACCAGAGTGGCAGGAATGGTGTAGGTGGAGGGCCTGGCCACCTCCTAGAATCTCTGAGGGGTGTGCTTGAGGTTCCTCCTCATCTGGAGGCCTCCTGGTACTGTTCTGTGACTTTTGAGGAAGGGGCACCTGGAGTGCTTAATAAGATCCCCATCTCCCCTGACACCATTCCTTCAATCCTGGAGACCAATGACTGTGGAGAGTGAGTGCACATATTCAGTAGATCGCCACAGTGCTGGTTCTCGAAGACACCTGCTAACCTGTCCATGGACGCAGAATGATGGTTGCATGATTGGCTGCACTTCTGGGTAATGAAGGCCATTGCCTGCCACGTACATGTCTGCTGCTCCTATGGCTGTGTGTGTGTGTGTGTGAAGTCTCTGACTGTCAACACCACAGAGTACTCTTCTACCTGGGGCTGAGCAGCATGACTATTTATTCCTCAGCCTGTTCCAGAGCTGTTGCAGTGAGGTGCTCACTAGCTTGTGGTCCCACATCTTCAAAGGCTGATGTATCCCCTGAAGTGTCAGTGTCTGAGCTGGTGTCAGCCTTGCCAATGCTTCCTCTGAGGCCTCAGTACTCTCATCCTCAGCAGTTCCTGGGGAGCTAGATGTCTCATCCATGGTCTCTAGCTGTGGAGTGCTGGTTCAGGTGCAAGACAAAAATGAAAGAAGGTATTGTGACCAGTAATTAGAAGTGGTATGCAATGGGTGACACTGACACTGATATTGACACTGCCAACTGTGTTAATGTGAGAATTACAGTGGAATGAAGAGTGTGACTTATTCTGTCGATGGAGCAGAGATATCTCTCCACAGATTGGTTTCTGTCTTCTCTGGAAAGCACCAGGATTCTCTCCTTATATTGGATGAGGAGTTTGATGTCAACCTTTCACCCGTACAGGCTCTTTCTACCCTGCTATGGGCTGTCTTCCCTTGGAATGAGAGGAAGAGAGGGATTGAGTGAGGTGAAAGTGGCTGATGCAGCTGTTAATCCTGATGTGGATGCAAGAATGGTGATGAGGTGTCCCGAGATATTAAAGAGGCAGCACAGAGACTATTCACAGTTTGTAATGGAGGAGATTAGGGGAGGAATGTGAGTGATTGAGCAAGGATGTTGCAGGCAATAGTGAGAGTGGCAGAGCATGAGCCTGGGTATGAGGTATGTTCTGTAGTAGAGATGGAGTGAGTGTGAGGCAGCTGAGAGAAGAGGGTGCCACGTACTTACCCTGACACAGTGAACAAGCTAATTGAACTTCGTAAGGTACTGCTGGCCATTCCTCCACACAGTGGAGGGGGCACTGACCCTGGTGGCAGCCTGCAGACAGGCTCTAGGGTCTGGTATCATGGCCTCCTGCAATTCCAGAAAGAAGACCCTCTCAACCAGGACCACCAGCTGTCTGTCAGCAAATCACAGCTCCGTCTTCCCCTTCTCTGACATCTTATCAAATCATCTTTGACTGATTGGGGTAGCTTCAGAATTCAGGTGCTTGTCTGAGTGGTCAATAATTTTTTTTTTTAAATGGCAGAGCTGCAAGGAAAGCTGGTCTTTCATGATATCCGCCAAGGGTGAATTGTTCTGGGAATGGTCCATGGTAAGATGGGGCCAGAATTGAACATGATCAATAGGGCAGGGATAAGTAGTTAATGAAGCAAGTTTGGTGAGATATGGCGAGAAAACGCACTAGGCCTCGTGGCAGAAATTCCTCCAAAAAATCACAACATAACTCAGACTTTAGCCAAAAATAAATGTAAGATTCAGCCCATTGTTCTAGAAATGTTCCTTTTACATTTCCTCCACAGTGCATCATATGGTACACTCAATGTGTTGTTGTTTGAGGTGTCAGTTTGGAATTATAACATGCTGTGTCTGTTAAACATTTGAAATAAAAGCAGAAAATGGTGAAAATGTTCAGAAGTTCTGACAGGATCTCTACAGAGAGAAACAAAGTTAATAATCTGCATTTTGCCAAACTCTTGAAGAGAGTTTGGAGGCAGGGACAGGGGAACCAGACAAATGGAGAGGGCCCACATTGGGACATCCATGCAGTACATTGGCCCACTGAGGAAACTTCCTAGTGATGGGTTGGGAAGAAAATTAACTATGATCAATGCGAAGGCAGATAACCATTTAAGGTCATTGAGACCCATACTTTATTATAGCTGACTTAGCATTTTGCCACCATGTGGTTTTTTTTATTCAATCATGGGATGAGGGTGTCACTCGCTAGGCCAGCATTAATTGCCCATCCTTAATTGCCCAGAGGACAGTTAAGAGTCAACTGCATTGCTGTGAGTCTGAAGTCACTTGTAAGCCAGACAAGGTAAAGATGGCAGTTTCCCTCCCTAAAGGACATTCATGAACCAGATGGGTTTTTCCGACAATCAACAATGGATTCATGGTCATCATTAGTTTCTTAATTCTTGATATTTATTGAATTCAAATTTCACCATCTGTCGTGGTGGGATTCAAACCTAAGTCCCCAGAACATTATCTGGGTGTCTGTATTAACAGTCTAGTGATAATACCATTAGGTCATCACCTCCCCATGTTGGCACTCCAGCCCTTGCTGCGTACAGAAGCCACCCGCTCGATCAGATCCTTGTCCTAAAATGTGAACTTTGTTCCTGTCTTCTTTCTTTATTCCAGGCTCCAGAGTTTTATTTCTAGAAAATGCATAATAATTCACAGATTGCTCTTTTACAAAGATAAAGGAAAAAAACATAAATTAATGTTGGAATTTTGTTTCAATAAGATATTTATAAATGGTGCAGCAACAAATACAGCAAGCACTTTATTAACCGGCACCTATAGGGCCAGGAGTGTGCCAGTTGATCTAATGTTCTAGTTGAGCAAGAGGTCCACATAATCAATGTAAAAACACACACTAAGTAATAGAGCCATAATACAGTGGGTATACACATCACAACAAAAATCACTTCATCAAAAATAAAACTTTGCCTTAAATAAAACTTACTGGCAGAGAGCCTTCTCAGTCTCATCTTCAGCTGACGACTCTGACATCGTGGAGTTTGTGATAATTCAGTCAACCTCCGATATTTCAGGTATACGAATTTACCAGTTTATTGAGAGTGCTCATTCATAACATGTCAAATAAAACAAAGTAAATTATGTTGATTATGTCTCAAATGAGTTTCAGAATTCCCACTTATTTGTTATGTATTTTCTGTTTAATACATTAGTCTGTGTCACTCTACATTTGCTTGAAAATACAGTTCTGTTCCTCTCTCAATATTAAATTGGCTTTTATTTCTTTTCTTTTGCTGAGGGAGAGTACTTGGCATCTTTGTTTGCTCGTGCTACAGGTTTTGA